TGACGGACCAAATAAGTCAGATTCAATATTTCCAGGGTCACCAGGAAAATTCACGCAACCTCTCCAGTCAAAGAGATCACTTTTGTTAGTTTTCAAGCGCTCCAGTTTTCTTCTCATGTTTTCAATAATGCCACATTTAAGACCAGCATCTTTCAAAACTACGCTTACCTGGAAACATCCAAATAGGTGAGATAATTTGGAACTGGATACACATCGAGGTGAACGAGTTCTGGAAGAGAAAAGACAAAAGATTGCACTGCAAAGATAAATTTGATTTCAAGCTACTAAAAGTATCCCCACCTCAGGTTGCCCAAGTTTATTGTAACGACAATGCAAATCATACCACGGAGGACAAAATAGAAGCAGTCCTCAATTTACAACAGTTCATTAAAGTTACAAGAGCACTGAAAAAAAGTAACTTAGGGCCATTTTTCACACTTACGGCCGTGGCCTTGCAGCATCCCCATGGTCACGTGATCAAAATTCAGACTCTTGGCAACTGACTCACATTTATGACAGTTCCAGTGTCCTGTGTGTGTGTGTGTGTGTGTCATGTGATCCCCCTTTTGTGACCTTCTGACAAGCAAGGTCAATGGGGAAAACCAGATTCACTTAACGACCGTGTTACTAATTTAACTACTGCAGTGATTCACTTAACAATTGTGGCAAGAAAGGTTGTAAAATGGGGTAAAATTCACTCGACAAATGTCTCACTTAGCAACAACAATTTTGGGTTCGATTGTGGTCGTAGGTTTGAGGACTACCTGCAATATACAATTGGATCAGAGCTGAAGCAACTGAACAGTTAAAAACAGCAAATATGAATCTAGTAAAAAATGAAGTAACATTTGAAGACATTTGACTGAAATAGATGGGATTTTCTTATTTGCCTTTACCGTATGTAAAATATGGCTCTGTTGTAAAGAAAAAAGTGTTCATCCTTTATTTTGTAAACTATAGTTTTGCTTTAACAACTGTAATCCATAGAGTCTGCTTTGGGAGTACATGAAATATCTTTCTCCCCAATTTTAAATTCAACGTAAATTTAGTAACTTTTTAAGCCATATCCTGCTGATTGCTTTCAGCAAAAAAAAAATCCAAAAGGGTCTGAAATATTATTCAAAAGACATGTGTGTATCATTCTTCTGAATCAGCTTCTCAGCACTGTCACTCATTAGTACATAACCCTCTTATTATAAAGAATTTCATACATTTATTTCTCAAAAATTCACTTTCGGTCTTAGTCATTAGCATTTACCGTATAAATGATACCACTTAATCAGTGGTGGGATTCAAAAAAAAATATTCCAAAAAGTTCTGTGGGCTTGGTGGGTATGGCATGGCTTGGTGGGAAGGATGCTGTATAATCTCCATTCCCTCCCAATCCCAGGGAAAGGTTACTGCAAAATCCCCATTTCCTCCTGATCAGCTGGGACTCAGGAGAATAGATGGGGACGGGGCCATTCAGAGGTGGTATTTACTGGTTCTTCAAACTACTCAAAATTTCCACTACCGGTTCTCCAGAACTGGTCAGAACCTGCTGAATACCCATCTCTGCACTTAATGCAGAATCTTTCATGCTCATGTAAAAAAATATAGAAACTGGATTATCTTTTAAAAATAAATTTACATACACTGATTTTAGATATTTTGATTCGGATATGGGTTTTGTAAAGGTTTTTTTTAATAATTTTTATTTTATAAATTTTATATATACATTCACAATTGATCTCATAACTGTTATTAATAATATGTATTTATAACAATTTTTCCCTACAGTTGACAATA